CACACAGGGCTTCCTGATAGACTGACCTGCTCAGGTACTCTGAGGATTGAACTGGTGGTCATTTCTGCACTTTTGCTGCCACCTGGATATTGTCAAGGTAAGTGAGATTTTGAGCCATAGGAATCCTTTTTACATCAAACAAGCCTTGCGCTTTCGTTTATTATTTCAGTTCAATTCCTCAATAAACTGACAACTGACTTTGGAAAGTGAAACACAACCAATCCTTATTGTAATTGTATGTTTTCTATACATATCGATACACTGATTTTTCTTCCGTTTTAAAATGTTAACTGTAAGTGTTTATATACATCTGTCGAAACAATATAGATAATTTAAGAGGCAGGCTTCGATCATGTCTGTAAGGGAGAGAGAAGCGCAGAAAGAAAGAGATGCTCAATAAAATCCTCCCCTTACGAGATTCGAACCCATGTGTTCTGCATCCGACAACCAAGAGCCTAGCCGTTATGTCATAGACGCTGTTGACACATCGATGTTAATGATGACAACAAAAATGATGAAAAAGACAATGGTGATGATTTTCAAGGTGACAATGATGATGATGAAGCAGAATCTTTTTCTTCACTCCTTTCCTTTGTGTCGGTGTGGCCGTAAAAAAAGGTGCATAAAAAAAGGAAAAGAAAAAAAAAGAAAAAAAAAAGAAGGAAAACAAATTAACAAGTAAACTCCTATCTTAATCCTACAGTCGTAATTTAGCAACATTTTTAAAGACATCTTTTCATCCCCAGATTCTTACACGGTGGTGCTAGATCCTACTTCTTTGCGCAACCCTTTGTTGTTACTGTCTCTCTACCCCTTTATTGGGGATCCACTTTTAGTTGAGTTGGTTTTAAAATTGCCTGAGATGTTGATTAGGCTGGTTCGAATCCCCTGAAGAATGTTCTTGAATTTAATGTTGAACAATAGTTTTCAAGTACTTCTTTTCTCAGATTTGTTTGGAGACAGGCTTGGAGTTGTCACTGACGTTACCGTTTTGAAAGTAGTGGTAAAATAGTACACTTTTTTATTTTCCTCCCCCTCCCCTCCACCTTTTTTTGGATTGTTTATTAATATTTTTTTGTTACAGAAAGTGAATGTTTCCTCAAATTTGACTATTCTACGAGGCTGTACTTTCAATAAATGAGCTAACAACCACGTCTGTACCGTTTACCTTCCACAGATGAAGAGCCTACTTCTTGCCCTGGGAGTGTGTCTGGCAGTGACCAGTGTCCACTCAGCGGTCACTCAGACCAGCCTGAACACCCTGGAGGCCCTGTCTGCCTCACGACACAACACCCTTGTGGAGCTCATCAAACTGGCCAACCTCACCTCACTCTTCACAGACCCATCAAGTGAGACTTGATAGCTTTTGTTTTGTTTAGAACTGTTTATATCTCGTTTTGTTTAAAACCGCTACATCTTGATTTGCTAGGAACTGTTAAATGTTTTGTTCAGAACTGTTACATCTTGTTTTGTTTAGAAATGGTTTATCTTCTTTTATTTAGTAATGTTATACATTGTTTTGTATAAAACTGGTAC